CTACTTTTTAATTGAAGTTTCAAAAACGTAGCTTATATTCGAACCTAGGTAGGTAACACATATAAAATATACGACGTAGTCTTATACCTAAATACTATATTCAACGAAACGATTATGTAAATCAGTCATTTGAAGAATAACATTAAACTTAGTAATAGGTATTTTAATACATTTATATTCGTAGTAAACATAACGAATAATTCAATTTAAATATGTTTACAAGATCAATTTATACGGGTGTAATATTTGAAGTGCGAAGTTTTAATGTATCGCCAGAACAATTTGATTTTTGCAGTAATGAAAAAAAAAATAACACAAATATCATAATTGTCGTCACAATTCGAATGTCGTCACATTCCCGTCATTTTGCGAACAGAAATGGCAGGCAAACAATTTTCCTTTTGATTAGATTTACAATACCTTAGAGTTTTAATATACGGTAGGTAAAAAAATGAAGTTGGGTGGCAACGCGGTACAGACTTCAGGCACTGGTGTAACAAACATAACATTCCATATTTCATCAATAAAATTTAAAGAAGCATCTTCGACCAAGTCTGGAATTTCGAAAGTAATATCAGCCTTTCAGTGATGGACGGATGAAACCGCACATCTAACAATAATAAAAACTTTTCAACCTCGTTTGCGCATACGCCCACCCAATTTTAATATAAAAAATTTGGCACTTTTTCCAAATATTATAGAAATTCGACAAAACTCCAGTTCTGTTATTGACGTATTGAACAAATAAAACTAATAAAACAATCAGCACAACAATAACAGGAAACGAACTTAATGAGCTAATTAATGAAAATATGTTAGACATAGTAAAGTAAATGCTACTCTAACAAGTTACAGTAGAAAGCTTCATAGGACGGCAGCGCAATTAATTAACAAGCGGACTTCGTTTGAAATATATTGAAATTATTAAAGAAAATGTTTACATTTTTGCATTTTAATATAAGTATTTTATTGATATGATTCACCTAACATACTGCCTTTGGCATTATAGTCTTAGTAAAGAGCAATATCATAACAATTTACAACTCGAAAACTTATTTCAATTAGGCTCATATGAATTCATTAAGTACATTTTCAATTGAAATTAAACATTTAAATTATAACATGAAGGCTAAAAATAATATAATGGAATATTGTCCTGTCTCAAAGCATTAAAAATATATATTTTTAAATTACTTAACGCGCTTATTTACTCCTTTTTACTTCTGAAGAAAGTTGTATTAGTTCGCGAAAAGGATTGAAAGTTTAGAAATCCAATGAAAATCTCCAAGTGTTACTTTATATCACTATTTAACAGAAAGTGACATTACTTATAGGTAACGTTAATAGGTGATTACAAATTTGAAAAGTAAGTTATTTTCAATTTTTACTTCATATATTCTTGTAATGCCACAGGAATTTAACATTTACAAGCAAATAAAAAAATTGGACAAAGGCAATGAAATATTCGTGTGTTTACATGTAATGCAATGTCATTTAACTGTGATGATGTTTTATCATAAAAGAAATTACGATGTACACTAAGATAATATGGGGCAACATAAGTGATAAAAAGGTCACAAATTGAAACGAATACATAATGATATTAACAAAATAATGATAATTGGTTCGATAAAATATATGTGTACGTTGTTTTCAAACGAGTAAAGCGAATTTAAATCTATTGTTTTAATACATACGGATACACCTTGTAATAAATTATAACGCTTTAGTGTATAACCTTAAGCTATTTACCGTGTAACTTAAATTACGAAATTTCATGTCACATAGACTAATTGAAAAAAGTTTTTTTTTTATTTTCTCTAAACTCGTAGTAATATATACGACCCTGATATTTATCTACTATATAAGATTTGATGATATCGAAAATTAAAATAAAGTAATAGTCGAAATTAAGGGGCATTAATTTTCACTACATGGATGTTGATAAAGCTTATAATTTTATACGAGTATACTACATACTTGACACTTATTACATTATTAAGTAGTCAAATGTTATAAGGTTATTGAAAATGGTTTACAATTGTAAGTAATACACGATAAGTAAAAAGGAATTTATGTTACATTTGATGACTATTATTCATACCATTTTATGTTTTCGGTTGGATGTAAAATTACAAGATAGTTAAATCCACGTTGTACAGATTGCTAATGGCGACTAAGTGGAATTATTTATCTTAATTTGAATTATTAATATACCCCAGGAAATATATCCATAGGTTTTATTGACAATAATACGGCAAAATCCGTTAGTTGTTAAATACTTTGCAATAATATGATTGTCTATGAAATTCAGCATCATTTCAGCTCAATAAATGGTTGCCCAAGGATATGTCATCGGCAAACTTATTATATTTTCAGAGAAAACGTAGCCTAATATAATTATGTTGGTGTGTTAGCTTTGAATAGTTTTAGGCTAACACGGGGGTCATGCATCCGCTATAGATCGATTTACAGTTGGTAAAGATCGATGGAGCTTGACATCTGCTTCGAGTGGGACGCACGGCAAACGGTGCCCACGTCCCTGGCTGAGCATCACACTTGCGTGAAACTGGCATGCAGTGCGGTCTCTTCCTGACCAATCTGGTTGGCCGGGGTGTAGTACTGAATAAAAATAGTTTGATCGAATTATTTTCTTCGAATGATTATGTGAATAAATTGTTAAAAGGAAGTTGTGCGAGTTCTAAAGAGGAAATGAAGCGTGAAATTAAGACATGTCAGAATTTTTTTCCTTTTGGCTGTTTGTGTACTAAATATGTTTTCAGTTTATCCACACCGTATTGTTGTTTAGAGTAAACTGTAATGCTTTGATTATATACTTGTATAGATAACACATAGGCCGTACCGGACGGCGCAATAATGTTAGACTACTAAATCTGGTAGACTCGCGTTTTACTTACGTCAGTGTCATTTGAATAACTTACGGAATACGTGCTCATGAAAAATTATTAACTATGCCGGTTTGTGCCATCAATTCGTCTCCCAATTATATAGGAAAAACGTATAATAATACCAAAATCACTATTCATCAACTTCAGTTAACAGGTTCATTGACCTATGAAATTGCCGTTCTTCAGTACTGGTAATTATAAATTGAAATTATTTTGTTTTAAAAACATGAAATTCTTTTTAAAAATCAGCCTTTTTTATTGATTAGCTTTTTTATATTTTCATTACGTTTGAATATTTTTCGCCATAGTGAATACTTTAAATATTTTATTTTCATCAGCTGAAAAATCTTAGAAGACCGGTTCCTTCCAATGATGATCGGCGAGGCTATTGAAATAAAGAAACATCCTAATTTGAATAGAGAAGATGGTTGGAGTTTTATCATCTGCTCGGGATTCCATAATTTATAAAATTAAATTCAAGCATACTAACACTGCTAGACCTCAAGATACCCTAAGCTCCTTTTGCATAGATCGGAATAAAAATAAACATCAAAATAATTGACGGTAGCTCGGGTTAACTATGTCATTAAAATTAGGTTAACTATGACGCGTAACATTTTAGTCTATCGCGTGACTATGTACGCTGGAAGGGTTCGAAACGTCGCGTCGGAAATTTCAAAATCAAAATGAAAACGCGATGAAATCCGTAAACTAGTTTCATTTAATATGTATAATATTGAATTAAAATCAAGAAGCCAATAAAGTAAAATAGCTTGATAGATGGGTGCCCCCCGAATTTGTCGATCGCCAGCGCAATGTAAGCGTTGAGACAGAAATGAAGGAATTTTGAATCGAATTAATACGTGCAACGAAAAATGTGGTTATATCCTTGTTCAGCACCAGAGCAATGCCCTAAACGAAATATGACCGCTAGAAAGGTCATGGTTACCGTATGGTAGTATAGTACCGGTGTGATTTATCACAGCTTTTTACCAAACAGCACGAGTATTACTGCAGATGTGTACTGTAAAGAACAGAAGACAATGATGGAGAAGCTCACCCATCTGCAACCAGCTTTGGTCAATCGTTCATCCACTAAAGGTATACTCAACAATAGACAGTCTCTAAGTTGCAAAAGTTAGGGTTGGAAGGTCTTCCTCGTAAGCCATACTCACCAGACTTTGCACCTACCGACTAATACGTTTTTCAAAATTTGGACAACTTATTAGCAAAAAAAAAACTAGTAAAAAGGCAGTACAAAATGCCTTTGAAGAGCCTTTTGCCTCCAGTCCAGCAGATTTTTAGAAGGGCATCACTAAACTACTGCTGCGTTGCCAAAGGTGCATAAATAAAAAGATTGAAAAAAAAAATACTTTAACTTGTTTCATATAAAACCGCAATTTCACAGGTAAACAACGAAGGGCCTAATATTTAACCAATATTAATTTAACAAAACACGACTATTTAATTTGTTATTTGGTAGGTTAATCAATAAATGATCATTTATTGATCAAGTAAATACCTACAAAAATAAAAGAAACCCATGACTTCTTCCTTTCATTTTCGGTTTTAGATTTCCTACGGACTCCGTACTAGCAAATCGCTGAAGAGCGATTATATAGTAGATTTGAGATTCAGATTTTGATGTACTGTAATTTTTTCATTGTATTTTATGATGTTATTAAAATAAATAAAAGTACTAATCTACAAATAATTATTTTATTGAACCTATTTTGTTTAACTTTCATCCTATTAAATAATGGGGAAAACTTAAGTTCATAATTTGGAGCAGGCATCCCTAAGCACGCACATCTTGAAAGTTTATTTGGATTAAGTACACGAGCGGCACTCACATATATCACGCAATCGGAGACAACTTTAGCGCGTCATTTGTTAAACATTGCTCCACCTAGACAAGTATATAATCAAAGATAAAATGGATACCGAGTAAACAGTTAACATACAAAAGCCGATGAGGAGTAGTTTAGTATGAATAAAACGTCATTTAGTTATTTCGAAAGTACGAAGGTTTATTGAAGTATAATTTTAAACTAAAATAACAAAACAAAAAAAAAGACGATTCCAGATTCACGTTAAACTAATTAGGGCTCGACGGCGTCCCGACAGGATGCGCACGCGCGTGCTACTCGTGTAATGGCTCGCGGCTAACTGGTGGTGCGGGGGAATTCCGACGGGCACGCAGTCGGGCGGATTGTCGGGACGTCCCCGGAGCCTGTCCAATCCGAGAGGTGGCGTGATTTGACCGCGGTGCTATAACCTCCCCCCCCAAGTCACTAGCACGACCCGTCTGTGACTTGGCCGGACGACCACGTCGACGCCCATGTTCGATCGCGGTCATTTCGCCTACGTAAGGAGTCAGAGCACTGGCGTGATACTTGCCCCTAATGGCACCAGTGTTATCAACAACTAAAAATGACGTTGGACTAATCACCTGTGAGACCTGATAGGGACCCTCTCTCCTTGGCGCAAATTTACTAGTAATTCCTTTGGCTGCATTACTTGCCATATGGGTCTCCACGAGCACTAGGTCCCCTTTCTTATAGGTAATAATGTCTCTCCTATGCTGATCACCAACAGCTTTCCTAAAGTCTTGCTGATCTTCCACTCTATGCTTCACTTCGTGCAAGATGCGAGCGAAATTCTGTAAATACGGTGTTATCTGAGGCACAAAGTTTTGTTGCGATACGATAGCACGAAGGTCGGTATGCACCGTCATGGGTGAACGCAATTCCCGGGCAAAAGTTAGGTAAGAAGCTGTTTTACCCGTTCCTTGGTTATAAGCGCTGTTCAACGCGAAGCGTACCATAGGCAGAACCGTCGGCCATCGTCGATGCTCATTTCCTACCAAAATAGACAGAAGCGACTTCAACTCCCTATTCTTACGTTCTGCCGGATTAGCTTCTGGGTGGTAGACTGGTATCAAAGATTGTTGAACGCCAAGAACAAACATTGCCTTTTGCATAGCAGCTGAAACGAATTGAGTTCCATTATCGGAGATCACACGTCGAGGCATTCCATAGCGCAAGAAAACTTCTTCTAAAAGAACTTTGGCGCAAGACTCGGCGGTAGCGTCGCGCAAGGCAAATAACTCAACCCATCGGCTGGCTGTATCTTCGACCAGAAGAATCCACTTCTGTCCCGCGTCACCTTCTGGGAGCGGTCCAAATAAATCCATAGCCAGAACTTCGAAACGTTGCTGGAGTATTGGAGTTTGCAGCAAACCCGCAGGCTTCAAATTTGTTGCTTTGTACTTTTGACACAAGTCACACTTGCGTAGATATTGCGCGACATAAGTCCGCATATTCTTAAAATAATATCTCTCCTTGATCTTCCTCAAAGTTCGTTCCAAGCCCAAGTGTCCAGCAGTTGGTGCGTCGTGCAGCTCTTTCATGAGCTCCGCACGTAAAGACTCTGGAACAACTAACTGCGGCTCATCACTCTCTCCGTCCGGATCACAGCGGAAAAGAACACCTTGAGAAAGATAATAGCCCCTTTCCGTCCAGCGTACAGCTGCATCAGGGTTATTAGTGTCTTCAAAATCAGCGATGATCTTCTGTACCTCTGGGTCATCAAGCTGCGCGTTGCGGAGGTCTTCCGGATTACGCTGCGGTAAGTCAATAGTCACAGGACAGATACTACATGGCTCAGCTTCTCTCGTCTCTTCTTCCGAAGCCGGTACAGGACGACTCAGTGTATCAGCGACGACGTTTACCTTTCCGGGTGTATACTCGATGTCCAGATCGTAAGATTGTATTTTCATAGCCCACCGGGCTAGTCGACCACTGGGTGTCTTCAGAGTCAAAAGCCACTTTAACGGCTGATGGTCAGTAGCTATCTTAACATGACTTCCTTCTATGTACGAGCGGAATTTATCCAAAGCCCACACCACTGCTAGGGCTTCTCGCTCGGTAGTAGGGTAATTACGCTCAGCAGGGGTCAGCAACCTGCTGGCGTACTCAATTGGGCGCTCGTCCTTAGGAGTTTCACCCTGCATCAAAACGGCGCCTAACGCATATCCGCTAGCGTCGGTTCGTAGCGAAAACGGCTCTTCAAAGTTTGGTTGGCGGAGAATCGGGCTGGTGGATAGCCGTAGCTTCAACTCGTCGAAAGCTCGTTGCTCTCCCTCCCCCCATTGCCAACGTCGGTTCTTCTTTGTCAAGTCAGACAGGGGCCGCGCTATGTCCGAAAAACGCGGAATGAACTTGCGAAACCACGCGCAAGTCTGCATGAAAGTCCTTAACTCTTTCAGGTTCGTCGGAGGCTGCATTTTCATTACTGCTTCGACCTTCGTGGGATCAGGCTCGATACCTCCTGCAGTAACTACGTGGCCCAGGTAAGTAACCTTCTCCCGTACGAACACACACTTATCTCTGTTTGCTTTCAGATTAAATAGACGGAGTCGTTCGAAGACCTGCTCTAGATCCTTCAAGTGTGCAGCCGGATTGGACGAAATAATCAGCAAATCATCGAGGTAGGCTAAGACGCAAACTTCCTTTAATCCAGACCTCATTCGGTCTATTAAGCGCTGGAACGTTGCTGGAGCGTTTTTAAGACCATAAGCCATGCGACGAAATTGGAACGTTCCGAACGGTGTAGTAAAAGCTGTTTTGTGTCGGTCCTCCGGAGCTACAATCGTTTGCCAGTAACCAGCCTTTAAATCGATCGTAGACATCACACAGCCTGGTTTTGTACTCTTCAGCAGCTCATCAATCACCGGAAGTGGATACTTATCAGTACGGGTGACGCTGTTCAGCTTGCGGTAATCGACACAAAACCGAATCTCACCATTCTTCTTCGGTATTAACACAACAGGTGAGGCCCATTCGGATTCAGCGTCTTCGATGATTTCATCTTCTAACATCTTCTCAATCTCCTTCCTCATCACCTCTTTCTTCGCAGGATTAACCCGATACGGCGGGCTAGCAATTGGCGTGGCATCTCCAGTATCAATACGGTGGACAGCGAATTGAGTAGGTCCTCCCCCCGGCGTAAAAATGTCCTCGTAGACATTCAGGAGGTCAGTTAATCGCTGACGTTCATCTGGAACCAGATGGGTACCCTCGTCATCACGAAGACCCACAGACGAACAATGAAGTGGTTTTAAAGAGCGAGCTTCAAAGGTGATAGGTTGAGGATCCCTATCATGTCTCACAGACCACAGACTGAGATCAAAGTCGAGTATCACGCCAAACTCCTGAATAAAATTCATCCCTAATAAACTTTCGGTCGCGTCGGGAAGCATAATAAAATCAACCTCTCGCGACACCCCTCGGACTGTCACGCTCACGTGTGCTAATTCCACAATTTGCGCACACATGTGCCCATCCGCAAACTTAAGTTCTACATATACATTTTCAAATTGATGTCCATGCTTAATTAAGTGAGCTTTTAAACTAACACTACCTATAGAGTGCTTAGCACCTGTGTCCACAAGCATTGTACCTACTTCACCATAAATTTGTATTTTTAATACGGGACGCACTCGCGAATCTATTTTGTCACACGCGGAGACCGATTGGAACGAACTCGATACGGGTTCTATCGATTTCTTGTCTTTACATGTCGGACAGTTCGAACGTATACGTCCGGGTGTTCCGCACCCGAAACAGGTGACTGTCGGTTCCTTCCTCTCTGTAGCGCCCTCTTTGGCTTCAGAAGACTTTCCCGCCAACCTCTGACATGCTTCCTTCAGATGACCATAACGCTTACAGTAAGCACACTGCGGTCGCTTACTAGAGCTAAACGACGGCGTAATCGATGGCTGTGTACTGCTTGATGGTAACATGGTTAATACAGGTTTAACATCTGACGTTACATTTAATGGGCGAGACTCATTAAGGATGTCCTCTACGCGTCTCGCTTGCGCTATTAGTTCTGCAAATGAAGTAAAACTAGAGCGAGGTACCTTCTCGCGTATTCTTTTGTGTAATAAGCCATACGTCATGTCTAGTTGTATATTTTCCGTTAAAGAATGTGGCGGAAGTTGCGCGAACAACGCTCTGATATGACAAACGAATAAATCGGTGGATTCGTTAATCCGTTGTTCGCGTTCAAAAATAATTCTGAAGATTTCTATGCGCAGGCAACCTAGGCCCGAAAGTCTGCCGTAGCGATTCCATAGCTGCTTGCCATGTCGGGGTGCTGTCTTTGACGCCCTGCCACCAAGTAGCGGCCAATCCCGTCAGTAACATAGGCAAACCTCGCAGCGCGACATCGTCGCTCATATTGACGCACGACTTGTACACCTCGATAGCATCTATGAATGCTAATACATCGCTGGTTTTAAGTCCATCGAAACGTGTAGAGCACTTCGCAAAGTTGCCGGACATATGTGTAGGAGTACTTACAGGAACTGCGGGACTTAGCCTGTTTATCAACAGCAGCAGCTGCTCTGTGGTCATGGTGATTGGTGCCGCAGCAGGATTTGCAGATGGCGGCAGCGGCAGGGCGTGACCCTGATCCGCAATAACAGCGTCACTGTCACTCGATACAGCCGGTGGTGGCGCCGGCGCGGCCTCCAGGTCGCGCGGCGTCGACTCCGGCGCGCTCTCTGCCGGGAACAACGGCGGCACTACGCCCTCAGGCGAAACGCCAGCCGCGGCAGATGCGGGACTCGCAGCACGTGATCGCGTTAACACCATGATGTAACACAGTCAATCACAGGTCACAGTTCTTGGACAAAAGTACTTTATCGTAACTTACAGTTAGTCGGTATACACGTAAGTATACAAAATAGTTCACACATAACAAAATATATTTTCTTTTGAGTTAACCGAGTCCATAAAACTAAACACGAGAGATAACACTAAAAGTTTAAGCAATAATTGTTATTTGTTTCCATTAAAATCGAACTTTCGGCGAATGACGCAACAGTGTTAAATACTACACAATAACTATACGCGCGCGGATGACGCAATAGTCGTTTACACACACGACAACAAAAGAAATTACGACCATCCGAATTTGTCACCTAGGTATAGGTACAGTATACCCGAAGTAATACCTAGCAACGGTTACAACGCACGTCGAAATATGTTTCGAAAAAGTACACTCCACTACACGAAAACACAGTTAATAACTGTTGAAATTTAAACTGAACTGTTTATAATAACAAAATTTAAACTGAACTGTTTATGCTCCACGTTGGGTTGCCACTTTTAGTATGAATAAAACGTCATTTAGTTATTTCGAAAGTACGAAGGTTTATTGAAGTATAATTTTAAACTAAAATAACAAAACAAAAAAAAAGACGATTCCAGATTCACGTTAAACTAATTAGGGCTCGACGGCGTCCCGACAGGATGCGCACGCGCGTGCTACTCGTGTAATGGCTCGCGGCTAACTGGTGGTGCGGGGGAATTCCGACGGGCACGCAGTCGGGCGGATTGTCGGGACGTCCCCGGAGCCTGTCCAATCCGAGAGGTGGCGTGATTTGACCGCGGTGCTATAGTAGTAAAATTAAAATTATACTAAAAATTTAATTATGAATAAAGCCTGGCCCAGTTCGAGTCGGACTCGCGCAAGAAGGGATCCATACCATTTTCTATAAAACAGCCAATAAATCATGTCTGTACTATGGGAGCCCCACCTAAATATTTTTTTATTCTGTTTTTATAGTGGCAACAAAAATACATCATCTGTTAAAATTTCAACTGTCTAAGTATCACGGTTCATGAGATACAACCTGGTGACAGACGGATCTTAGTAATAGGGTCCACTTTTACCCTATGGGTACGGAACCCCGAAAATGTATTAATAATAGTCGTATTATAGCTGAAATACAAATGAAGGTTTCTGTTTTTAAACTTGATAATTTTTCTTCACGTAAGAAAGATTATAATAAATATCGTTTCATGTAAGACTCACCCCAGTGTAGGGTCCACTGTTCCAGCCAAGCCGTTCCTGATCACGTTCCGGTACATGCTGAGTGGAATTTCTCACTTCAGCCTGAGCAGACAACCTTGATTTGGCTTTAAAAGCATCACGCAATGAAATGTTTGCGCGGGCGGCTTCAGGACGTCCGTGTTGGAAAAACTCGATGAGTGCCACAATCAAAGCCAAAGCTAAACCACCCATCAGCACGTAAAATAACCCTGCCACTTGACTTAGAGTGAGTTCAGTGCCATGTAAACTCTAAAATTGAAAAAAAAAGTAATAATACATCCCATTAGAAGTATACAAAATGGAGCCTGATAAATTTAACACATAAAAAACGGAATTTTAAACAAAATAACGGACAGGAATTTCTTGTATTCGTACCTGCTCGCTTACATCGCACTCAGTTTTGATAAACCATTTACGAAGTATTTTTTGAAGTTCACCTTCATCTTTTAGAGACTGCAAAGCAAGATTAACTCCCTCCCTAAAAAAATACTAACATATTAAACGAAGTGCATATAATTAACAATGTCGATTAATATTTTGTTGATGAACAAATCGCTTTGCGCAGCAGATTAAACATCGCGCAGCAACTTTCGCAGAAGCCTTTTTTGATTAGGCACATACGAACCTGAGTTTTGATCCCTTTGGAAAAGCCACCGCAAAATCTTTTACTCCCGACTTGGTAATGGAGACCACCATCTCGCATGGCTTCTCAATAACTTTTGCTTGTAAGCCCATTGCTGCGCGATCTAACATAGATCCCAACCAACCGTGTTCGTCAGTTTCTGGTTCTTCAGTTTCAGGCTTTAAGCTTTGACCAAATATTGTGTCCTTAAATAAATACTTTTGTAGTTACTAAAAGCATATTTTGATTAGGATCATTGTGAATAAATATCGATTTAGTATTTTTTTTAATTACTATCTACTTTTCCTGATTTTTTTAATGCAAAATAGTTTGAACTCCATCAAAGTGTAATGGAAGCTCTATTCAAAAATATAAGAAATCTGAAGAAATCTACCAGAGCACATATTCTTGTGGCGGTTTAAAATTTTTAATAACTTCGCGGAAACGGTCACTTAAAACGGTAAAGTCTGCTAACTATGATACTCTCAGCCCTGTAGTCTCGGGCTCATAGAATAGGGCTAATCCCCTGCCTGTCGTAAAAGGCGACTAAAAGGGGGTAAGGATTGGCAGCAGCACGAAGTGATCTCGAGCTGCTGCAAGATGGCGAGGAAAAATATACGTTAATTAGAACACAATATCTTTAAATATTTGCACAATAATTTACCTCGGGGCATGCAGTCACTTTACTATATAATTGAGTTGGCTCAGATATATGTCTTAAAGTTATATACGAAGCAAGATTAGCCGTGTACGAGCATATTACGATCAAGGTGAAAAACCACCATACAGATCCAACTATCCGCCCGGAAAATGACCTGTAAAAATTAATGAAAGTAAAAAAATGTCTTTTTAGATTAATATATGATTATAAGGATCAACGCAAAAACTTATAATATTAGATCACCAACCTTGGAGATATATCACTGCCTTGTTGCATAAAAGAACCCACCGAAAACCAAATCGAATTCCAAAAGCTGAAGTCATTTACGACAGTTGTCTGTAATAAATAAATGAGAGTAAATTAACGAACGGCATATGAGTCATCAAATAACATTTGACTATGGAACACATTTTGATCAAAATAAAAATTTTGAAAAATAATAATTTATTTTTACCTTGATTGTAGCAACATCGCTCTGTTCGGATGATTGATTATCAGTTACAGATAACACACGCCACTCATACGGAGAGAATCTTGATACCAGAAACAGTACTACGCCTACTGCGAATATGCTGAATAAAATGCATATCTGAAAACATATTTTGTGTAATATTGTTGCCAATTGTATAGACGCGTTGTAAGTTATAAATAGAATATATTTTTCGTTTGTTTCGAATATAATAGAATATATGTCGTATATCATCGATATCATCATCATCATCATCATCGTTCAGCCTATTTTCGATCTGATGCTCTGAACTATTACTACGATGTCCCTATCCGAAATGGAGTACATAATGGGTACTCCATTTCGAATAGTTTTGCGTGTTGTTTTCTTCCGTGCAGGCTATGATTTTTTTTATCACAACGGAATCACCAAAGTAATAACTTAAATCGTTTCCATGATATTAGTTATAATTATAACTGTTTATGAATTTTGATTAAATATTATGAGATTTGATCAAATTTTATTATGAAATTTGATCGAATGCGAAATTTTGATTAGAAAACTCTTACCCATATTTCCTTAGAAAGGGGATGCAGGAAACTGAAAATGGTGTTCAAATTCTGAACATTGCGTTTTTCTGGTTTCGCGTCGAAGGATAAAAATGGTTTACTGAAGTCAACGACAGATTCCCTATCTACCGTAACCGTCAATGGAGCTATCACCAAATCTGCTTCCTAATAACAAATGGTAGTGTTTAATATAGTACTTAACTTCACAATAATAACGTAAAATTTTTGCTTTGTTGGTAACTTGATGTTGTCCTTGACATTAATTTTTTAAATATCTATTGGCGCCCCTTTTCTATAGTTCTTTATGCCATAGATACAATGTATTAAGACAATTATTTTGAACACAGCCTTTTTTAGAGTCAATATTTATTTTTAGTGATAGTGTTTATCATTTAACGGTGAATGCGAGTACCCTACTCGCATTCAAAGTTAAATGTTCTTTTAAGGTAGTTTCATACTGAGTATTACTAAAAACGCAATAAAGAACGTAGATAGATGTCGAGACTTTCGGGTCTTCGTCTTCTAAAGCTATGACCACGGTACCCCGAAGTCGCAGAGTGGATCTCCGCAACGGTGAAAGTATTTTCATTTATTTTGTTTTGTTAAAATGTCCAGAACTAATAACGCAAAACACATAAGGTAAAAAAAATAACGTTTAAAATTGCAAAAATATGAATTTGCTTATCTTTGTTGTTTAAATATAATATTTTTTTTATTTATAAATTCTTGTCTATCGAAGTAAGATTTTAAATAGTTATGGTTATATATTCTCCATTATTTTTTATTCTGATCTTTTAAACAAAATTGAAGTACTGCTTCCACAAAATTTATTTCATTTGTTCTTCACCAAGTAATTGCAAAAATGTTAGATATTTGTGATAAAATCAAAATCAAAATCAAAAATATATTAATTCACATAGACGCTTGCGCGTTCTTGTGTCAAAAATTTTACATAAAAATTAATACGTTCGTAAGTTACCACAAGCAAAGCAGTTTCTGTTGAGAAGAGACCGGGAAGAAACTCAACAGTTGCTCTTTTTTAAAACGATTAGTTTACAATATAATAGAACAAGTATGTCATAAGGAAACAACATACAAGATTTGTCTCATAAAAAATAAAGTCATTTATGCTGGTTAAGGGATTAATCGATATTTACTTACATTAACGTCCTTCCTCGTTTGTAATAAAGACCACGATTAATATAAGCTAATAAAATATAACTGTATTTTAAAATATCAATTTTAAAAAATTGAAAATTATAAATATTGAAGTGTCTTAATATAAATAATCTTTAACATTCATTTGTAATTTCCAAATCTACAAAGACATTTTTGCCATTTCCTTTTATCTCATATCAACAATATACTCATATTTTGTACAGGTATATTTGAGAAACATTCAAATTAATAAAACGTAATTACGTTTAAATATAATAAATTTAAAACAAACTGATAAGAAAGTATGGGTATCAAATATTCTCAAGGAACTCAAATATCTGTTTTGACCTTCGTTACCCTAATATACGAAAGAATTAGGGAGAGAATGTGCATGTTCATGAAGGCGTTTTTCGTTCCATTGAAAACACTCAACTAAATTAAATATATACAAGTGGGCACGTACCTTCCTTAAAAGTTCTCCGATCATCCCATCCCAACCACCAATAACTTTTGGATTCTCCCTACCATATTTACCATCTTTAACCAAACGTAACTCATCTGCAACGAAATTAATAATTAAAGTTAATTTATCATCGTTACTTAACTTTATGTATCTGCAGACCCGACTTGTATACTTGTAAAAAAATCAAGGAAGTGTTACCTCTGTCAGAATAACTTTTATAATCAGTACATCTGAAATATTAACTTGAAAGTATTAACTTACACTTGATTTCCATCTTTTCCATGAGCATTTGGGCGAGATCGACACAGAAGCCTTTGTATGGGTAAGTCGTCATTGAATTCGGAGCTGAATGCATAACGTATGGTGGTTCTTCAATGGTCGACACGATGAATGTCTTGTTTCGATAATAGCGGCCTGGAACATTGCTTACTGGCCTTGCTACTAAGGGAACTAATCCTTTGTAGTCGTACCAAGTTCCGATCTGTAAATATCTCGTTTATTTTATTTCCATGATAGAAAATTTATTAAATATTAATTTACATTATCGTTAACATGACGTAATAATTTAAATAATTAACAGCGTTATAGAATATACATTTATATATACATTGGTATCTTTTAACACATAAAAAGTTTTAGAAATGTCGTTTCATAAGGAGAGCTAACGATCATTACATGAATACAAAAATTTTAGAAAATGTTGTATTTTATTGTACAATATCGTACTATATTTGTTTGAAGTTTTTACCTCCACTTCAATTTTTGGAACCAATGTACATTGATAAATAGTAGTAAAATGATTTGAAAAGACTAAAATGTACAGGATTTAGTTAAAACTAATTAGTAATTAAAACTTTTGATATTCACGATTTTATGGAAGTGCTCCAATATAAATATCATTCCTTACCTTTACCATATCTCCACTTATAGTCATTTCCATAAGTTGAAGAGTAAAATTGCGTCGATGACCGCCCTCATTGAATCTAAGGACACCAGTCAGGCCTTCTACATCGGTCTGAAGCAAAAAAATTAATATCGACTTTTCTCTTTATGTTAATTTATATAATATTATTTTTTATATATATAACGACATTAAAATATAGTGTTCTAATCCAATTATTTATATCCACATTTTGTTTATTATCCAGCTATAAAACCTAATAAAACAATTTATAACATTCGCATCACCACACGAAAACAACGTACGTAGGTATGTAATTTTAAAATATTTTCTTCACTGATGCCATAATCTGTATAAAAACAAGTGTTTAAAACCATTTCAAAACTGAAAGAAATTTTCGTTTGAAATATCTATATACAAAATTATTGGAACTCTTGAAAATAATGAGTACTTAAAGGTACTGTTTCTGCTGCCATTTTGCAAATTTAAAATTAAATGTATGTTTCATTCTAAAATTGTATTAAGTGAATTATAATTAATTTAATATATACATATTAAATCTATATTTATAATATTTAATATAACGCCTTAAACGGTGCAAGAGTTGACTGCGATAACACACAATACAACAGAATAAAGTGAGTAGGAAAGTGACAGAAAGTAACCACTCGTTAGATTACTTGTATTACAAAAATGTTAACGGACTTTCCGCGAACCTGTGAATTAGCTGGTACATACATGGCTTATACTAATTAGGCGTCAGGTAGCGAAACCTCATTAATCGCCTGAGGCTCGCTCACTGCACACTCAATATAAAGGACGGTCGCATATTCAACACCTGTTCACCTCTGCAATTCAGTTTAATTTGAATCCGCTAAGTTATATCCACTGAAAACCAAGTTGAAATTGATTTTAACAAAAATATATGGCTTCTCGGAAAGGTTTGTTGATTTTGCAAATGAGTTTGGCTCGTTGATTAGTTTTTTATATTTAATAATTTTCCAACTGAATTTTCTTGTTTTATGTTTAATTTAACTTTTATTGATTAGAATTATTTCTTATATCAAAAATTAAAATAATACTTTTTGTTATTATTAAAATAAATAATACATTCATTGAAATTAGTAGAGATAAAAAAATATTTTAGAGGGGTATTTTTGAGATTAATTTTAAGATGGTTAGACATAATTATGTTAAAAAATCTTCTCCTAAACAGAAACTTAAAGTTTCAAAGATACTTATAGATAATGTAGTTACTATTTATTTTAAGCGGATTTCATTGCAGAGACGAAAGGTCTCGGCAAGTATTGTCATTGTCAATTATGTTAATCAGTAACAGGGATCGTTATTATTGTAATCATTACTAATTAAAATAATGAAAATAATAATAATAATACTTATTTAATAATATAACGAGGGTATTTTATTAATAATGTAAAGGAAGAGTCATTCAGGTTCCAACCGGTTAGAATTTGGTTTGGAATAAAAGAGTTAAAGGCGTTTTAAAATAAGATAAAATAAGCTTTTACCTTTTATTTGTAATTTATCCGATACTGTATTATAATATGTTCAATAAAATATGACTAAATTTTAAAAGGACTAAAGCAAACGGTTAAATTCCTGACACCCCTTTACAATTTGAGCTCTCACAAAGGGTGGCGGACTCTTCGAGTATCCTCAAAAATTGTTCTGGCTTTTTGGGCGTTATGTTACATGTATCTCAAATATAAAAGAATCTGTTTTAGAAAAATGTAACACATTTTATCGACACCAACGATTAAAGTCCCATTTGATCAGAGGACATTATTTGGATAGTAAGCAATCCAGCGATAAAATATAGGCAACGTGCTTTGTGAGTTATTCCTATAGCTATTTATTTTTGCATGAAATGAACATCAGTCGCAACCATAATTCATTAATCACAAGTTTTATAGGTTGGATTTATTAACACTCCTGTCCATTTTGAGACTTACTAACTGTGCCAAGCTTTTAAAATTTATAAATAAATAAGCTTTATCGAAAACTGAATCTTTTGGGGCGGCACCAAATGGAAACGTATTCGTCTGCTCCAGCACCTTATCAGATTTCTGATTCTGATCCATAGTAATCGCGAAATTTATAAACTCACTTAAAATACTGTTTCAGTTACTGAAAGTCAAACAATTTTACTGCCTCTTTTCCACTAAAAAATAAAAAATGTCTCCAACAAAAATCATGTATGAAAGCCCTTTCACACCTTTAGGGAATAACGCCTGCCGAAATTGACTTACGCTTTTAATACGTCCCGCATTTTGCCACAATCAGTGTCGTTACAATCTGTCAGCACATTCAATACGATGGGAACTGAGCGCAATTTATTAATCAATTGAAATCATTCATTCGCATTGCCTCTAGTAATTTAAAACTTATAAAAACCCTTATATAGGAGAAATTAATCATACGCTCGGTGCAATAGTCAAATTCAAATATGTAACTTTATACATAGAAGTCGCTAATTTTACTTATCATTGCCCAGGTAGGTTGAACTATTTAGTCTTTACCTTTTTTATCATCCTCGAGATCTTGTCACCGATTTCGTAAGCGAGATACTTTTCCTTTGGGTCGCAGTCTAAGCTCTTGTTCGAACCTAAGTTTGTGCTACGTCGTGTCAGTCCACGTAGAATATCCGGCCTTTTACGAACCAAACGCAAGATGGCGTCGATGAGAACTTGTGTTGCATCGTACATCAGAGCAGCTTTAGCCTGTGCATATAAATGTAACTATTAACATCCCATTTAAAAAATAGTTTACAGATCATTAAAAAGGAAATTGACCTTTGCAGCTGTTTTTACAGGCTTTTCTGCATAATAAACATTTCTTTTTGAAGAAAAGAACATTTTCGATTCTTGTGATAAGGCCACATAACAAAGTTTGTTGGATAAATCGGCAGGTCCATCCGGGAAAGTACCACGACCTCCGGTCCAGAAGACCGGTGTGATTTTTTTTTTGGTCTGGATGAGCCACTGTTGGCTTTAGGGGCCTTCACAAATCCGAAGGACTTGAGGTAGTCTGGCGCACGGGGCACCTAGCCTGAACCTTGGCGTATTATTACGCGTTATGGTGTTTAAGCTCAAGGGCTCCCGAAGGAGCCTCGGCTCGGGCCGTCATGCTATTATTATCACTGGTTTGGGAGGCCACTAAGCTCTTAGAGCGCTTTGGCGGGCGCTCCATGGAGTGATCAGGCTCAAGGGTCCCCGAGACGGGACCTCGGCTTGGGCTGTCATTCAAAACGCGTTTGGCATTCCGATTCGAGGGTGCCCGAGAGGCTGGAACTCGGCTCGATCGATAGCTATTATCTGACTGGTGGAATTTCTATATCTAACATTACTACCACTTCGGAAAGCGTTAGCGCTGGGAGAAGAAGTGGCGGAAGAAACTCCAGCAACGCTTCTATCATTGACGGGGGAAAATCTGCCAGGTACGTGGCGGAACCTAGTATATTATGTTTGGCGCACTCGCCGGCGAGTGCGGTGTGTGTTGGTGTGTTCGCGTAGTTTTTTAATCCTTTCGATGGCGATAGTCGTCTCATCGGCAGGGAAGTCGAGGACGTGTCGCGGTCTTCGGTAATCGCAGTGGAAAGTCGCACCTACGATTAGCGGGTTGGGATGTGCGGATGGAAGCGCGGCGGATTCGAAGTAAAAGGGAGGAAGAGATGCGTGAGCGCGGGCGTGTCTACCGGTACGTAGTGGAGGGATTTTTTGTAGTAAATTAGTGTGCCGCCGCCCGGGGCGCCGACACGATCGATCCTAACTATTCGATAATTGGGGATGTTCGGATCCCTTGTCACGGGTTTCAGGAACGTTTCCTGAATTAAAAGTATGTCGATTTGGTGGTCGTTTTTGTAGAAAGCAACGTTAATTGATCCATATCGATTCTTAGACAGATAACGCAGCTACTATGTGCTGGTTTTCGGACAAGAGGAGGATTCGGGAAGCGAAGTCGCCTTTTGCGTATTTCTCTGCGACAGACATTACTCCCTTCATGTTTACTATGCGGAGAAGCCTGTTTAGCGAGTCGAGGGGGTTACCTCCGGTCTCTGGGGTTGTTGGGATTAGTGCCGGTTGTGCGGCAGGTTTGGGTGTTCTGTAGTCCGTGATGGGTGGGTTCGGTTGGGCCCAACCGGGTGCCATGGGGTTTTGCCACGCGGGGGGTAGAGGAGGGAAGGAGGTAGGCGTTGGTACGGGTGGTCTTCTAACTGCCTGAACCGCAGGTCTAGCGGGTCTGCGCTTAGGCGTGTTGGGGCAGCCAAGGTAGTTGGCTGTGTGGCCCTCTTGCTGACAAAGTACGCAAGCGGGAAGCCCGTAGCAGGGCAGTAGTGCGTTCTCTTTGGGCCCGGGGCAGTCAGGAGTGCCGTGGTCTCCTAGGCACTTGACGCACCTACGCCTGGCGAAGCAATTACGGGCCGCATGTCCGTATTTTTGGCATTTATGGCATTGCCCAGGAAGCACGCCTTTGTGTGGGGGTTCGACTACGATGTTGTCGAGTTCTGGTACGGATTCGATATTAAAAATGGCTTTCCCTTCCCTGTGAGTTAGGTCGAGGCGGACCATGATCAAATCTATTAAAGTACGCATGCGCTTGTTAGTCATGCGATGGACTGCAAGGACCGTGAGGTTTTGTTTTTTCGGTGAATCATACTTGCTTAAGTAGCAACCAGAGTTGGGGTGTTAGGATCGCTGAGTGCGATTGGGTCGGTTGGGTGGGCCTGGAGCACCCGGCTGCGGCCGATTCGATCGGCCTAGGTGCTTTTACAGGCGGTACGGAGAACGGGGCAGTTGAAGATGGCTGGGAGGTGCGCTTCTTGCGCTTCTTCTTGTTAACCACTTGGGTGAATAAGCTTCCTTCATTGGCGTTGGGGGAGAGGGGCGAGTTGTGCTCCATTTCCTCTTGCGAGGAGGAGCTCGCTGCAGCGTCGTTAGAGGTTGAAGAGGCCCTTGAACAGGGCCTTGGGAGTCCCTTTAGTACTTGCAGGGCATCAGGCACGAATTCCGGTTGCTTTTTCTGGAGGAAAGCTAGGATGGCCTTAATTTCGGCCATTGTGGACCTACTTATTTTTAGTCGTAATTTTTAGAAGTCTCGGTGGGATACCGGTGTGTGCGTCCGTATATGTGCCCCCTCTGCCCTGCCTAAGTCGTGCAGCCCTAGTGCGTCCGAGTGCCGATCTTATTGTGCACTCGGGTGTGTGCTTAGACCTAATTAAAACTATCCGCGGGTGCTAAATGGCCAAACGTGGACCAACGTTGACTTGGGACTACACCCAAGGCCAGTGATGGCGGTCCCTTCCGATAATTCGCGGTTCTTAGGAGAGAACCGCATGGCAATCGGGGCTAGCCTTGGCTAGCTTCGTTAACACCGTAAGGTTTCCACTAGCCCTATTCCTGCTATTAATTGATCGCGGCCGATCAACTAACTGTACTTTTGTCGAGAAACAACCGCTACGTAGCGCGTTGGTCGGCGCAGTGAAAACTGCACCTCACAACTTGACTTGCAAGCGGGGTGTCCACTCGTAACGAAAGTCACGAGTGAACAAGCGCGGTGTGCGATTACTGAGCGTACGCGGCGAGCGGGCACGCGAAACCTGATATGGCCAACTGAGGCGGGCAAGGGTGGAGTGGTGGCAGGGGTAGAGCGAGCGCGTGCCTAGGCGTGCGTTCGACTCGACTGCTGCGAGCACCGATGTGAAGTGGACATTTCTGCTTTTCGTCTAGTGCGTGAGGTAGCCGTAGGTGGGCTTACCTTATTAAAAGGTGGCAACGCATCTGCAACCCTGCAGGTGTTGCAAATTTCCATGCGAGATAGCGATTATCACTTAACATCAGGTGAATCTCCGGCTAGTTTGCCTCTATCACACATAATAACATAATAATGGCTTGTAACGATTGAATTATTTGAATTATCAATTACAGTAAATTCATTCAACAAAAAAACACCGGCACAGAGTTATAATAAAACAGTTTCTTTTGAAAGAAGACAATTTAACAAGTTCGCCTACAGAATATATAATTAGTAATTTATAATCATTGTGGTACGTGATTCCACCAAGATTCTCTCTTACCCTGCGTTAATATTTATATCACGTAACCATATAATAGCGGGATGTCGATGGTGGCTCAAGAGTGTCTTTTATGGTATTTTATGAGTAAGCTCATTCGGGTGTTGATTAGAGACTTAATGATCTGGATGATGAAATTGGTAATCAAGAAACACTATAAAAGCCACAATATCACAAGTTAATAAACGTCTCTTTACTATTTTTCGATTTTGAAATAGTAGTAGTTATACCATTCAACTTTGATGAATTAATATCGATGGACACTTACCGAAATAGAATCTTTCCTCCATATATCGATGAAATCTCGAACAATTTTTCTCGAAAAATCAAGCATTCGGAAGCCCGTTATATTAATAGCTCCAAATTCACTTATCCCTTTCTCCCACCGATCGTCCATGACCTTAAATGATAATAAATATTTTCATCATGCAATGTGAATTTTACCGAAAAAGCCTGTTTATGTCTGTGACTCCGTTGCAGTTTCTTTTCTCGTTTAATACGTTAGTGAATTTAAATAAAGTTTTCATATAAATACAATGTAATTGATACATTAATAAAAATGTTTATGATAACGTACTATTTTGTAAATTTATAATGAATTATATTTTTTTTAATATATATTGGATAACCTAATGAGCGGAAGTCTACCAGACGAATGAAAGACATTATTAAACTCTTGATAATTTCCTAAAAATGTAAATAAATTGGCGACCCTACTTAATTGTATCCGTGGTCTAAGTGGTAGTTGGATACTCACCAGGCCACTTAAGAAGTAATGGTAGTTCCTCCGGCCAAGTTGAACGTCACGTACGTGCAAAATTAGTGCATCTTTTGCCAGTCGTGTAGAGGAGTCGAGCACGACGTATTTGTTGCTCCAACGGTCCAGCCTCTCGAGCGCGCCAAGAAATTCAACCACATCTGTGGCGTTGGCGACGCGTTTTACATTCGAAATACGGAAGGTAGCACGGCCGGGTTTCAAGCTTTGGTATAATTGTTGAAGCCGGAGTAGTCCTGGGAAAAAAGAAGACGTGATGTTGACTATTGCATGTCCCCTTTTATACAGCCCTCGCATATGTCGTACAAAACGGCACCTTGCAGATATGAGAACATAATGAAATAATATTAAAACAGTGTGGCTTTTCGCTTTGGTTTCATTAAACAAACATAGATGTTATTAATTCGAAAGATTTGGTTGTTGGTTTTTTTCTTTGGAATATATAGAGATAATATTCCTTTCTACATTAAATAAACAGGAAAAGGGTGAAGTTCGATTTTTACTGCAATTAGCGACAAGTAACAAAATACAAGGCTCCGATACTTATTTATTCAACGCGCCCGCGCACTCAGTGCTCAACACGAGAGACTTCCTGGACACCACATCCGTCAAAGTCTCGGGTCACCCTCATTATAGTCTTGATCTGGCACCGTATGAATTCATGTTATTTCATAAAATAAAAAATCAACGGGAAGGGATACAGTTTTCATCGCCCGAATACGCGCTGAAAGCGTTTGAGATTCGATAAGAGGTGTCTGCGCAGGCTGGAGAGTTCTTTTATTTATTATTTTAATGAAAATATTTCATCCATATAAGTTAGTTTCTTAATTTCTCAAAACTTTCTGAGTGGCCCACGTATAAAACCGTATTGTGCCCAATAATTTTGATTGTATTGATTTAATAAATAAGCTTTACTATGAATTTCCTCGCACTATCCATAATTCGCCCGGCCGCTCTAAGAACCAAATAGTTTCAATATTAAATATATTAAACTTTACTTTTAAATTATTATGTATTTTTAAAGTGTACTAAAAATTATATATATATTATTGTTTTAAGAAGAAAACCTCTGCCCGATGGAAAATGTCAAATTGCCTATGTTCTGATTTTGAATTGGATAAAATGGTCTCATGTAATTTTCTTACAGAACTTGAATTGCTTTGGTTTTTGTAATTGATTTTGCTTTATTGAGACATAAAAGTGTCATAGTTTGTGTTTATTGTTTCTTTTAATTACATTCCACCTCTGGTTCCTAACATATATATATATATATATATATATATATATATATATATATATATATACCTATATATCCTTGAAGTAAGAAGGAAGATGTTTCTTATGGAGAGAAAAATTTTAAAAATTGCCTGAAAAAGTCTAAAAACAACACTATTCTATATTCCCCTACAAAAGATTCGTAATATTTAATACTTAAAAGTCAATTTGAACTTTAATATCGTACCATAAAGTTTAGGTGTTAGTGGAGGCGTTCCGGGAAGGCAAAACAAGTGAGTGACTGTGGTAAAATGTCACTTTAAATGTAAACGTCTTTGCTGTGCATCATTACATAGTAAAGAACAAAGTCGTCCCGCTGTCTGTCTGTCCCTATGTACGCTTAGATCTTTAAAACTACGCAACTAATCTTGATGCGGTTTTTTTTACTAAATAGAGTGATTCAAGAGGAAGGTTTATATGTAAAATACATTGCACCCGTGCGAAGCCGGGGCGGGTCGCTAGTTCATAATAAAATAAACAATAGAATTACGTTTACATAATAAAGCAATTTGGTTTTGTTAAGAAAGGTAAAATATCAACGGAATAAAATATAAGAAAATTTATGGCTATTATGTGTCTACCTTCATAATTGGTCAAGGACTTCATAAGAAAAATCCCGATTCTTCCTAAGCAACAAAGGAAATAACGAGAACTTAATTAAACACTTCACGTATTCCACCTACCGCTATGTTACGAAAAACCCTTTCCTCCACAAGAAATTTTTTAACCCTCTGTTTGTGAACTACGCTTTTTCGTATCAAGTATTGCTAGAATGTTTTCTACGCGAAAATTCATCTCCTTCTGGTTATTGGTTTTTCATAATCCTTGAAGCCATTTTTGCCATTAAGATGAAAGCTTTGAATATACCGATTAATACTTACTCATTAATAACGGCTAAATGGGAGTTATATAATAATAAGTATGTACTTCAACATTTGGAACGTTTTTCAGGATACATATTTTTATTTTTTAAGACAAATACTGCTAACGTACATTAAATAAATTGTGTGTAATTAGTATCGGTTTAATTAAATATCTTAAAATTATAAGTAAACCACCCGCTGCGGCTTTGCACGGGTGCAATGTGCATATAAACCTTCCTCTGCAATCACTCTATCTGTTGCTGATGCAAACCGCTTTATAACCCGTTTCGTACTTTTAAAGGACATTTTATTCTATGTAAAGATATCAAAAAGTTTCTATTGGTTGCCATGGTAACACTGCGAAGTTGGTCTCTTTGCAATGAGCTTCATCATGTCGCTTTTTGGCGGTCGGTGTGTGCACGAATCGTAAAAATAAGTGAAACTTTAAAAATAAAACTTTAAAAATAATTTTATTATAGATCCCGTTAAACAGAAGACTTAAATCTACCGATCGAAAAAGGAAAATTTAAATAATGAAAGCACTACCTGTATGGATAACTTATTCACTCGCATTTTAAGCTCTTTGACAGCGCTGTTACTTTGAAATTTAATATGGCAGAAATTAAAGCTCCTTATTTATTATTTACCAGCAGCCCAGCTTCGCACGGGTGTTTAACAAAAATTTTAAGTTAAAATTTATCATACAGACATAAAACCTTCAGAATGTTTCGTCTTTGGTGAATGATTTTATGAATTTCTTCATCTTTAAATAGAACAGTTGTAGTTTACGCGAAGGGTTTCTGTATCATTCAAATTCAAATATCTTTATTCAATATAGAAGTATTACACTTACTTATTGTCAAAAAACAACTACCGTCAACATTATCTATAAAACACTAAAAAATCATGTCTGTTGTATAGGAGATACCTTTTTTTTATTTTTTAGTATTTTTTTTTATAGCGGGGATTGAGATACAGCCTGGTGACAGACGTACAGACGGACGGACGGACGGACGGACGGACAGACAGACAGACAGCGGAGTCTGAGTTATAGGTTGCCGTTTTACCATTTGGGTAAAAAAAAAGTAAAGTAACAGCCAATACACACTGTCAGCCACGACACACGGCCTCCTCTGTACAGAGGGTATCAGGGCATAGTCCACCACGCGGCCCCACTGCGGATTGGCGGACTTCACATATTTTCGAAATATATATTTTTTTGTTATTATTTCGAAAATATGCAGGTTTCCTCACGATGTTTTCCTTCACCGCGGAGCACGTGATAAGTCAGCACTTAAAGTTAAAAACTTCATTGGTGCCGGCACCGGGGATCGAACTCAGGTTGCTCGAGTATATTGAACTAAAGGTGAGCGCCCGGACACTGAGCTATCACGGCTCGTTCATTTGGGTACGGAACCCTATTAAGTTCCTGTAATAATGCAATGGATTAAAACAGGTAGCTTTAACCATCAACCTAAATACTTAAGATTGCATTGTCAAAGTTTTGCGATGCGTTGTACCGTGCTGAGGAATGGTCAAATAATAATAGTCTTCTACCGTTACGAACATTAAGGGATATTGGGTTTTATATTTATTTATTTATTGTGCAACACTATATTTATTTATTTATTTTTAAGAACCACAAACGGAATAACATGTTGTTTTGTAATTAAATCTGACAATAGTCTTAAGAACTAAGATTTACATGATATCTCTGAGGCCTTTTCAGGATTCCGTACACAAAGGGTAAAACGTGACCCTATTATTACGACTCCGCTGTTTGCCTGTCTGTCCGAATGTCACCAGGCTGTATCTCATGAACCGTGATAGTTAGACAGTTAAAATTTGATCTGGATATTTATTTCCCAAGGAGGGTTGACGTTAGGCACGCGGCTTGTTGTAAAAATATACCTTGCCAGCGCTGGCCGCCTCAACAGCCCCCTCCCGGAGTGTAACTTTCCTCTCCTTCCGGTAAGGCGGGCTGGAACATTCAGTGCCCCTTACTACTCGGCCATATATTTACGACCAATGAACTCCGCCGAGTTCACGGACCCGAGCCAGGAGAGCCAGTGCTAATAAGCAGCAAGCGCCTTAGCCCCCAGCGGCGGACCTGATCTGTGACTCCACCGCTCACCACGTTTCGACCGTGGAGGTTAGGAAGAATGGTGCATCGCAGTCCCGACCCCACCTAGGTGGGATACGAGCAGGAGGATGATGATGACTTGTATGCTTGCCCTTCTATTTTAAAATTTGGCATGAAATTTTGTTCCATAATTTCTATTGCGCCAAACGAAGTCATTTCAAAGAGGCTATTGTACTTTCGTAAGTTAGTCCAGATACTGAATGATTATTTGTCAAAAGATTTTTTATTGGCTGTGGCGGCTCCTCAATATTGGGAGACTAACTCCAAAAGCACAGCACATACCATTTGGTTCATCGACCCATTTTTTGGCAAAACACTTAGAGCAGATCTTATTCGTGGCTCCGATTTGGACGGAAGACTCAACAGTCTCAACAGTCTTCCATCCAAATCGCTCAACAGCTTAATGCATTAAAGCTCAACAAGCTCAACAGCTTAATGCATTAAAGTTGATCTGTTACTGTGAGCTAAAACTCGTTTACGAACTCTAGTCGTTGACATTTGTTGTCTTTCTCTCTGATCTCGTAGGCATTGGGAATGCTCAAAGCTCGATTCCCTGGTGTGAGTTTATATATTTCTAATATTTTGCTCTTCAAGCCGCTGCAAACACTCTACTCGACCCTCTACGACTTGTAAGATGATTTTCAGTTTCCGATGTAAATTCGTCATTACGACGTATTTTGATGCCTTTTCCTGGAAACTATTTCTAGAAATATGAGATCTTGATCTTTTGGACATTTCAAAGTGATAAAAAAAATAAACAGACTTTGTACTAAATTATTTGCTACTGTTGAACAGGAATAACCTATAATGAAAGAAAGTGATTGAAAAATTATAAGAACTACTAAGTCGGACATATATAGTAAGGATTACAGTAAAATTTAAATAATAAATTCATTTTAAAATAAACCTTTCATTGCATATTAAAGAAGCAAAGAAGAATAGGAGTAGCTAGATAGAATAGGATAGATTTTGTAGTGAGATTTTTATTTTATACTCAATCGTGAAATGGAGTTGTAGTTCTTTTTGTTCTTGATAAAATTAACTCAACATAAAA